TATATATATATATATATATATATATATATATATATATATATATATATATATATATATATATATATATATATATATATATATATATATATATATATATATATATATATATATATATATATATAGGGGTACTACCACTGGTTTAATTAAAGGGACCCACATCCTCGAAGAAGAAAATAAATAGTGTTCAAAGAAGACCTTGTGGATTCTGACTGAATACTTTAATCTTTTCCTCTCCTACGACCCCTATTATATATTTTATATATATAAATATATATATATATATATATATATATATATATATATATATATATATATATATATATATATATATATATATATATACAGACTGGTGGATGGGTGAAAGAGAGACTGGCTACACAGAAGGTAAAGTGGCTCCATTATACACAAGAGAGGATCAGGTGCCACGCCACAGTGGTGGTGGTGGTGGCGGCCTTCACCTTCACCCGAGGTGTTCGTGTGGTAGCAGGACACTAAGGGCCAAACTACCGCCTCCCAACTATCAAGTATTTACAGCAGAAACTAATGTAATGATCAATGCCTTCTGCTTCTTTATGCTCGCCTCAACCTGAAGGCAATGCTGCACTAGGTACAATATCAATACCATTTGTCTGTCTATAATGAATACTGTATATGGCCAACCTGTCCTCACATTTAATATATCGTATTTTTACGCCATATATCGCTGCGTCAACATTTCGGTGGTGTATTGAAATTAAAAAGTTGTGTGAAATATGTTTGCTGGGACTATACAACGGGCTCACCATAGCCAGTGCTACTTAGAACTTTTTGTTCCAGGTAGCAAGTCTTCAACAACAACAACAACAGATGGGACCACTGAGCGTGTACCTGGAGAGACTAGAGAGGTGACCCAGGCTCCTACACTTGTCCTCACACATAAACCACTTCATTATGAACGCTTGTCAAATGATGAGAGCAGCTTGGCACTCCAAGCTGCTCATGTTGTTGACAGGTGTACGTAACACTGGGCTGGAACCCTTCAGGAAAACACCCTATATAAATGTGCCAACCTGCTGTCTTCCCAGCCACTCTCAGAAATTGTCGAACATTAAAAATCGAAGTGATTTTTTTCGTCTAACCAAAATCACACGAGGCCAGGCAGCCCTAATGAGCAGGATGGTCATTGCTCGGGGGGAAATATATATATTATATACCTTTTAATATCACCCCTATATTAATATAGGTGTTGGGGGGGGGGGGGCGGTCCCCCCCAAAAAAAAAAAATTTTTTTTTTTTAATGCTGAGATATGTAGCGTCAGAAATGCTATGTACTAAGCGTGAGGACAGGCTGGCTGTATACATTATTCATTATCGACAGACTAATATGTGCGCAATATTCCTTTGGGCTTAATAGGTTGAATCAAACATAAAGAAGCACAAGGCTTCTCTCCTGAGAACGGCCTCTCCTAAGGCTCTTCATTATTCTAGGTGGCTTCGTGCAGAGTCGTGGACCTTAACGTGAAGGTCATCATCCAGTACTTATGTGGTGGCTGAGATCATCATTCCCTGGTGTATGATGAGAGCACACAGGCCAGCCACACACACCATAAGTACAACATTGAAGCAACGTTATGATGTTACTGCAATATAAACATTAGATGTTTATATGTTGGTGGCCGCCAGTTAGCCTACACGGGGCTCAGGTGAACATTGTCTGGTGTAAGGGCCATTGTACTCACCTAATTGTACTCACCTAATTGTGCTTGCGGGGGTTGAGCTTTGGCTCTTTGGTCCCGCCTCTCAACTGTCAATCAACTGGTGTACAGATTCCTGGGCCTACTGGGCTCTATCATATCTACATTTGAAACTGTGTATGGAGTCAGCCTTCACCACATCACTTCCTAGTGCATTCCATTTATTAACTACTCTGACACTGAAAAAAATTCTTTCTAACGTCTCTGTGGCTCATCTGGGTACTAAGTTTCCACCTGTGTCCCCTTGTTCGTGTCCCACCCGTGCTGAAGAGTTTGTCTTTGTCCACCCTGTCAATTCCCCTGATTGTAATTATGTTGCAGTGTTCAGCAAACAGCGAGATATGGCAGATAGTGTCAAAGGTAGTGTTTCTGTTGTTATTACATGGTTATCTCAGGTAAGATAGAGGAGACTTTGCTTCCTCAGACATGCCCAGCGTCTGAGGGCTCCCAGCGTTGGTCTACAGTCTCGGTGAAACACAGTTTCCTCCTACCACAGTCACCACAAATACCACAATACCAGCGTTGGTCTACAGTCTCGGTGAAACACAGTTTCCTCCTACCACAATCACCACAAACTATCGCCACGTTCAGTCACAATCACCATCATGTTGATGACTAAAATCACCATCATCACTATCACCGGTATACAGGTCATCGTGGTCACCACCACCATCACCAGGCCATCAACGGTCACCTAACTGCTCAATCCTGCAAGACCATTCACAGATCTGAATAATGACTGAGGGCATTCTACACGACCTATCCTGGGACAGGCAGAGCCGTCCTGAGGGCCACACTTTGTGCCGTCCCGAGGGCCACACTTTGTGCCGTCCTGAGGGCCATACTTTGTGCCGTCCCGAGGGCCACACTTTGTGCCGTCCTGAGGGCCACACCTTGTGGCGTCCTGAGGGCCACACCTTGTGGCGTCCTGAGGGCCACGCTTTGTGGCGTCCTGAGGGCCACGCTTTGTGCCGTCCTGAGGGCCACACTTTGTGCCGTCCTGAGGGCCACACCTTGTGGCGTCCTGAGGGCCACACCTTGTGGCGTCCTGAGGGCCACACCTTGTGGCGTCCTGAGGGCCACACCTTGTGGCGTCCTGAGGGCCACACCTTGTGGCGTCCTTAGGGCCACACTTTGTGCCGTCCTGAGGGCCACACTTTGTGCCGTCCCGAGGGCCACACTTTGTGCCGTCCCGAGGGCCACACTTTGTCCCGTCCTGAGGGCCACACCTTGTGGCGTCCTGAGGGCCACACTTTGTGCCGTCCTGAGGGCCACACCTTGTGGCGTCCTGAGGGCCACACCTTGTGGCGTCCTGAGGGCCACACCTTGTGGCGTCCTGAGGGCCACACCTTGTGGCGTCCTGAGGGCCACACCTTGTGGCGTCCTGAGGGCCACACTTTGTGGCGTCCCCATCCACCACAACTACCACTATCCATCTCATCCACCACCACAAACCAACCCCTCCCTCACTGCCAAATTTTAAATTCTGCCAAATTTAATATAGGACAGAGAAGGCTTGGTAATATAAAGTTACTGCCAAACGGAAACAGTAATTTCCAGGCCTAAATTGGATGAAGCAAGCCACAGTAATGACTTTTTGCAGCGTTCATATTGGGGGTTCATTTAGTGAACCGCAGCTGGCCAGAACCTCCACACAACACCACACCAACACCGGCTGCTGGCAACTCTTAGAAGGTTCTGAAATATGTGTGTTGTGTCCTTTACTTTTCTTGGAGGGGGCTCCTGAGACAGCATCTTATACTTCTGGACCAAGAATACTCCAAAATGTTCCTCACCTTTGAACAGTTTCCAATACATTTGAAAATTCATTTGCGAAATTAAATTTAGATTTAGAGACGAGGTTTAACACAGGATTGCTGGATTGTTTCAAGCGAAGGATAGACGTAAATATATGAGTGAGTTCGGTTGGCTATATATAGGAACCTTTTGGGTCTTTACTCTTATTCCTGGGAGACTTCAACCATGACATGATTACCTTGAGGTTACCTTGCGATGATTTCGGGGCTTAGAGTCCCCGCAGCCCGGTCCTCGACCAGTCCTCCTGGTTGCTGGACTGGTCAAACAGGCTGTTGGACGCGGCTGCTCGCAGCCTGACGTATGAGTCACAGCCTGGTTCATCAGGTATCCTTTGCAAGTGTCTATCAAGTTTTCTCTTGAATTTCAAACTGTGAGGGGTCTGCCAGTTATGTCCCTTATGTGTAGTGGAAGCGTGTTGAACAGTCTCGGGCCTCTGATGTTGATAGTTCTCTCTTGAACACTGTGAGGGGTCGGCCAGTTATGTCCCTTATGTGTAGTGGAAGCGTGTTGAACAGTCTCGGGCCTCTGAGGTTGATAAAGTTCTCTCTTGAACACTGTGAGGGGTCGGCCAGTTATGTCCCTTATGTGTAGTGGAAGCGTGTTGAACAGTCTCGGGCCTCTGATGTTGATAGTTCTCTCTCAGAGTACCTGTTGCATCTTTGCTCTTCAACGGGGGTATTCTGCACATCCTGCCATGTCTTCTGGTCTCATGTGGTGTTATTTCTGTGTGCAGGTTTGGGACCAGCCCCTCTAATATTTTCCACGTGTAAATTATTATGTATCTCTCCCGCCTGAGCTCAAGAGAATACAGATTTAGGCATTTCAGTCGGTCCATGTCTGGATATTACCCATCTGGAACACTGTCAGTCTGGATATTACCCATCTGGAACACTGTCAGTCTGGATATTACCCATCTGGAACACTGTCAGTCTGGATATTACCCATCTGGAACACTGTCAGTCTGGATATTACCCATCTGGAACACTGTCAGTCTGGATATTACCCATCTGGAACACTGTCAGTCTGGATATTACCCATCTGGAACACTGTCAGTCTGGATATTACCCATCTGGAACACTGTCAGTCTGGATATTACCCATCTGGAACACTGTCAGTCTGGATTTAGCCCATCTGGAACACTGTCAGTCTGGATTTAGCCCATCTGGAACACTGTCAATCTGGATTTAACCCATCTGGAATGCTACCAGTCTGGACATTGGCAATCTGGAATATTGTCAGTGTTAAACAGTGTGGAATATTGCCTACAATTTAGCAGTGAGAGAAGTGGGTCCCAGGGGGGCCTAGCTCCACACTTCCTCCCACTGTGTGTGTGTTTACCTTACTAAAGGGGAGAAGGGAGTCCCCCTTAGGCCTGAGGGTAACCACGCCGCTCTCAGCGCACGCAAACGGGTCAAGGAATGCACGCTAGAGTGTGCTGCCGCACGCAAAATGACCAAGAGCCCTCGTCCAGATCTTGACAAAGCACCAGGACTTCATAAGGCACCAGGACTTCATAAAGCACTAGGACTTCATAAAGCACCAGGACTTCATAAAGCACTAGGACTTCATAAAGCACTAGGACTTCATAAAGCACCAGGACTTCATAAAGCACCAGGACTTCATAAAGCACTAGGACTTCATAAAGCACTAGGACTTCATAAAGCACTAGGACTTCATAAAGCACCAGGACTTCATAAGGCACTAGGACTTCATAAAGCACTAGGACTTCATAAAGCACTAGGACTTCATAAAGCACCAGGACTTCATAAAGCACCAGGACTTCATAAAGCACCAGGACTTCATAAGGCACCAGGCCTTCATAAAGCACCAGGACTTCATAAAGCACCAGGACTTCATAAAGCACCAGGACTTCATAAAGCACTAGGACTTCATAAAGCACTAGGACTTCATAAAGCACTAGGACTTCATAAAGCACTAGGACTTCATAAAGCACTAGGACTTCATAAAGCACCAGGACTTCATAAAGCACCAGGACTTCATAAAGCACTAGGACTTCATAAGGCACCAGGCCTTCATAAAGCACCAGGACTTCATAAAGCACCAGGACTTCATAAAGCACTAGGACTTCATAAGGCACCAGGCCTTCATAAGGCACCAGGACTTCATAAGGCACCAGGCCTTCATAAAGCACCAGGCCTTCATAAAGCACCAGGACTTCATAAGGCACCAGGCCTTCATAAGGCACCAGGACTTCATAAGGCACCAGGACTTCATAAAGCACCAGGCCTTCATAAAGCACTAGGACTTCATAAAGCACTAGGACTTCATAAAGCACCAGGCCTTCATAAAGCACCAGGCCTTCATAAAGCACCAGGACTTCATAAGGCACCAGGCCTTCATAAGGCACCAGGACTTCATAAGGCACCAGGCCTTCATAAAGCACCAGGCCTTCATAAAGCACTAGGACTTCATAAAGCACTAGGACTTCATAAAGCACCAGGACTTCATAAAGCACCAGGACTTCATAAGGCACCAGGACTTCATAAGGCACCAGGCCTTCATAAAGCACCAGGCCTTCATAAAGCACCAGGACTTCATAAGGCACCAGGACTTCATAAGGCACCAGGACTTCATAAGGCACCAGGCCTTCATAAAGCACCAGGACTTCATAAGGCACCAGGACTTCATAAAGCACCAGGACTTCATAAAGCACCAGGACTTCTTAAAGCACCAGGCCTTCATAAAGCACCAGGCCTTCATAAAGCACCAGGACTTCATAAAGCACCAGGACTTCATAAAGCACCAGGCCTTCATAAAGCACCAGGCCTTCATAAAGCACCAGGACTTCATAAGGCACCAGGACTTCATAAGGCACCAGGACTTCATAAAGCACCAGGCCTTCATAAAGCACCAGGACTTCATAAAGCACCAGGACTTCATAAAGCACCAGGACTTCATAAAGCACCAGGCCTTCATAAAGCACCAGGACTTCATAAAGCACCAGGCCTTCATAAAGCACCAGGACTTCATAAGGCACCAGGACTTCATAAAGCACCAGGACTTCATAAAGCACCAGGACTTCATAAGGCACCAGGACTTCATAAAGCACCAGGCCTTCATAAAGCACCAGGGCTTCATAAAGCACCAGGACTTCATAAGGCACCAGGCCTTCATAAAGCACCAGGCCTTCATAAGGCACCAGGACTTCATAAGGCACTAGGACGGGGCTCAATTGAAACTTTGAGTTTCATATGAGTGTGTTGGACTTTTTTTTTCACCTATGTTATTATTTCCTATTATATGTACATATATATATATATATATATATATATATATATATATATATATATATATATATATATATATATTTTATTAAATATGACCGAAAAAGTAAGATTAATAATTCTAACACGAATTTTCTCAATCTTTCGTACATTATGCTTCACTGTTGGAGGTAAATCAAAAATCACTTCTCCAAAATTCATTTTTATTTCTAGTCTGACGCGACACGGGCGCGTTTCGTAAAACTTATTACATTTTCAAAGACTTCACAAATACACAACTGATTAGAACTTGCATTTCCCTGATTTTATATCTACTTTTGAGTGAGGTGGGAAGGGTGATGTGGCATTACATTTGAGTGAGGTGGGAAGGATGATGTGGCATTAGAGGATATTAATAGGGTATTAAAAGTATCAACACAAGACAGAACACGAAACAATGGATATTGAAGAGAAGTGTTTGTAGAAAGCCTATTGGTCCATATTTCTTGATGCTTCTATATTGGAGCGGAGTCTTGAGGTGGGTAGAATATAGTTGTGCAATAATTGGCTGTTGATTGCTGGTGTTGACTTCTTGATGTGTAGTGCCTCGCAAACGTCAAGCCGCCTGCTATCGCTGTATCTATCGATGATTTCTGTGTTGTTTACTAGGATTTCTCTGGCGATGGTTTGGTTATGGGAAGAGATTATATGTTCCTTAATGGAGCCCTGTTGTTTATGCATCGTTAAACGCCTAGAAAGAGATGTTGTTGTCTTGCCTATATACTGGGTTTTTTGGAGCTTACAGTCCCCAAGTGGGCATTTGAAGGCATAGACGACGTTAGTCTCTTTTAAAGCGTTCTGTTTCGTGTCTGGAGAGTTTCTCATGAGTAGGCTGGCCGTTTTTCTGGTTTTATAGTAAATCGTCAGTTGTATCCTCTGATTTTTGTCTGTAGGGATAACGTTTCTATTAACAATATCTTTCAGGACCCTTTCCTCTGTTTTATGAGCTGTGGAAAAGAAGTTCCTGTAAAATAGTCTAATAGGGGGTATAGGTGTTGTGTTAGTTGTCTCTTCAGAGGTTGCATGGCTTTTCACTTTCCTTCTTATGATGTCTTCGATGAAACCATTGGAGAAGCCGTTATTGACTAGAACCTGCCTTACCCTACAGAGTTCTTCGTCGACTTGCTTCCATTCTGAGCTGTGGCTGAGAGCACGGTCGACGTATGCGTTAACAACACTCCTCTTGTACCTGTCAGGGCAGTCGCTGTTGGCATTTAGGCACATTCCTATGTTTGTTTCCTTTGTGTAGACTGCAGTGTGGAAACCTCCGCCCTTTTCCATGACTGTTACATCTAGAAAAGGCAGCTTCCCATCCTTTTCCGTCTCGTAAGTGAAACCGGCCATATACTGCAGGTATGTTGACGACATTTTTACACAGGTACCTGATGTCAGACATCTGCAGGAGCTGAAGGAGGCATTTGAGCAGAGTTCCGTGCTGCGTTTCACTTACGAGACGGAAAAGGATGGGAAGCTGCCTTTTCTAGATGTAACAGTCATGGAAAAGGGCGGAGGTTTCCACACTGCAGTCTACACAAAGGAAACAAACATAGGAATGTGCCTAAATGCCAACAGCGACTGCCCTGACAGGTACAAGAGGAGTGTTGTTAACGCATACGTCGACCGTGCTCTCAGCCACAGCTCAGAATGGAAGCAAGTCGACGAAGAACTCTGTAGGGTAAGGCAGGTTCTAGTCAATAACGGCTTCTCCAATGGTTTCATCGAAGACATCATAAGAAGGAAAGTGAAAAGCCATGCAACCTCTGAAGAGACAACTAACACAACACCTATACCCCCTATTAGACTATTTTACAGGAACTTCTTTTCCACAGCTCATAAAACAGAGGAAAGGGTCCTGAAAGATATTGTTAATAGAAACGTTATCCCTACAGACAAAAATCAGAGGATACAACTGACGATTTACTATAAAACCAGAAAAACGGCCAGCCTACTCATGAGAAACTCTCCAGACACGAAACAGAACGCTTTAAAAGAGACTAACGTCGTCTATGCCTTCAAATGCCCACTTGGGGACTGTAAGCTCCAAAAAACCCAGTATATAGGCAAGACAACAACATCTCTTTCTAGGCGTTTAACGATGCATAAACAACAGGGCTCCATTAAGGAACATATAATCTCTTCCCATAACCAAACCATCGCCAGAGAAATCCTAGTAAACAACACAGAAATCATCGATAGATACAGCGATAGCAGGCGGCTTGACGTTTGCGAGGCACTACACATCAAGAAGTCAACACCAGCAATCAACAGCCAATTATTGCACAACTATATTCTACCCACCTCAAGACTCCGCTCCAATATAGAAGCATCAAGAAATATGGACCAATAGGCTTTCTACAAACACTTCTCTTCAATATCCATTGTTTCGTGTTCTGTCTTGTGTTGATACTTTTAATACCCTATTAATATCCTCTAATGCCACATCATCCTTCCCACCTCACTCAAATGTAATGCCACATCACCCTTCCCACCTCACTCAAAAGTAGATATAAAATCAGGGAAATGCAAGTTCTAATCAGTTGTGTATTTGTGAAGTCTTTGAAAATGTAATAAGTTTTACGAAACGCGCCCGTGTCGCGTCAGACTAGAAATAAAAATGAATTTTGGAGAAGTGATTTTTGATTTACCTCCAACAGTGAAGCATAATGTACGAAAGATTGAGAAAATTCGTGTTAGAATTATTAATCTTACTTTTTCGGTCATATTTAATAAAATATGTCTACAGGAAAGACTGCTACCAAAATATACTAATATATATATATATATATAATGTGAATGTGAGGCGAGGCAAGTGTTGAGGCTCTCCTGACCATCACAGAGAAAGAGAGTTCATAAAGGGATTTGAGAGGATGCCAAGTGAAAAATATAGGTCAGAGAAGAATTATGTGAAATTGGATTGGAAATGGTGATCCTATTATGAAAGGGGACCATGAATCCAAATTCGGATTATAAACCAGTGAACAGCGGCCGGGAAGGACTTTAGTTAACATTCAAATGGGAACCTTTTGTTGACCTGTTCTTTTAATAGATGGACAGAGTGCATTTAGTCCTTTAATGAGTACATGGTTTGGTCCTTAGTGAGTACATGGTTTGGTCCTTAGTGAGTACATGGTTTGGTCCTTAGTGAGTACATGGTTTGGTCCTTAGTGAGTACATGGTTTGGTCCTTAGTGAGTACATGGTTTGGTCCTTAGTGAGTACATGGTTTGGTTCTTAGTGAGTACATGGTTTGGTCCTTAGTGAGTACATGGTTTGGTCCTTAGTGAGTACATGGTTTGGTCCTTAGTGAGTACATGGTTTGGTCCTTAGTGAGTATATGGTTTGGTCCTTAGTGAGTACATGGTTTGGTCCTTAGTGAGTACATGGTTTGGTCCTTAGTGAGTACATGGTTTGGTCCTTAGTGAGTACATGGTTTTGTCCTTAGTGAGTACATGGTTTTGTTCTTAGTGAGTACATGGTTTTGTTCTTAAAGAGTACATGGTTTGGTCCTTAGTGAGTACATGGTTTGGTCCTTAGTGAGTACATGGTTTTGTCCTTAGTGAGTACATGGTTTTGTTCTTAGTGAGTACATGGTTTTGTTCTTAGTGAGTACATGGTTTGGTCCTTAGTGAGTACATGGTTTTGTCCTTAGTGAGTACATGGTTTTGTCCTTAGTGAGTACATGGTTTTGTCCTTAGTGAGTACATGGTTATGTCCTTAGTGAGTACATGGTACGCACTTAGGGGAGGGGTACGAGGGGTACGCACTCGGCCGACCGGGGGAGCCGGTCGGCCGAGCGGACAGCACGCTGGATTTGTGATCCTGTGGTCCTGGGTTCGATCCCAGGCGCCGGCGAGACACAATGGGCAGAGTTTCTTTCACCCTATGCCCCTGTTACCTAGCAGTAAAATAGGTACCTGGGTGTTAGTCAGCTGTCACGGGCTGCTTCCTGGGGGTGGAGGCCTGGTCGAGGACCGGGCCGCGGGGACACTAAAGCCCCGAAATCATCTCAAGATAACCTCAAGATGGTTTTGTCCTTAGTGAGTACATGGTTTAGTCCTTAGTGAGTACATGGTTTACCCCTTAGTGAGTACATGGTTTACCCCTTAGTGAGTACATGGTTTACCCCTTAGTGAGTACATGGTTTAGCTCTTGACGAGTGCATGGCTCACTTATCAAGGCTTGCATAAGTTGTCAATCAGTGCATCTAACTTCCTCAACCAATATATTCCTGGGTTTCATTCCTTCAAAGACTACTTGGCCTTTATTTAACGTTTATTTAACTGTTCACATTTTCGCTTCAATCTACCGAAATTGTTCATGTATGTGAGGCAGACTAGAGCTACGGGATCTCTCTTATCGACATATATCCATGAGTTTCTCTTACTCCAATAATATTGATGGTTTTTGTGTATATAGGTATTCTTGATTCATCAATTGTGTTTCTAATAAATGTATTATTAACGTAGTATACTTTTGAAAGATATTGTATTGTTTAGCCTCGTTGTGGCTTATGTAATTCGGATCATCATGAGAATTTTTCTTGAAACTCATATAAAGTTATTTTTTTTTTGCCAAATATTATTTCATGGACTTTTGTGCAACTTTCCCCTGTCTCTACTGCTTAGGTCGGTGACAGAGAGCCGGTCGGCCGAGCGGACAGCAAGCTGGGCTTGTGATCCTGTGGTCCTGGGATCTATCCCAGGCGCCGGCGAGAAACAATGGGCAGAGTTTTTTTTTCACCCTATGCCCCCCTGTTACCTAGCAGTAAAATAGGTACCTGGGTGTTAATCAGCTGTCACGGGCTGCTTCCTGAGGGTGGAGGCCTGGTCGAGGACCGGGCCGCGAGGAAACACTAAAATGCCCCCGAAATCATCTCAAGATAGGTATTTAAACCTCTGCGAATTCCATTAACAGTAGTTTCCAAACAAAGTAG